TCGGGCCTTACACACACGGCAGCCCCTCCGCCGCCCTCACAGGCTCGTTCGCCTCCTCTAACTCGGGATGCCATGGCTTCTGCCTTTGGGAGAACCATCTGTGCTTCAAGCTCTTCTCGTGTACTAAATCATTTTATTAATGAGTAGGAGGACCTCGTGCCCACGTGTTTGACGGGCCGTGGTGTCCTGTGCGGATCCCGGAGCCTGCTTCCTCCTCCCTTGTTGACATTCCCAGGAGCCGTCATTAGGCCAGCCGGAGTGTGGCACCAGCCACCCTGCAGGACCACAAGCTGAGTGCTGATCAGGCCCATGGCTGGCTCCAGGTCGCCTCTGCACAGTTGGGGACTGGCTCTGCGAGTGTTCCCTCTGCCCCCAGACAGGGTGCATTTCTTACAGGGTAACAGGCGGCAGGTGGGGTTCCCAAACTGAACCTTGAAGTACTTGAGACTCCTGGCTAAGATTCCTAAAGCATCCAGGTTAAGAATTCTCGTGTTCCTGTCACTTAGATTTTTTTTTTCTTTTTTTGGAGAGGTTTTTGCTCTAGGGCGCGTGCGCTCACCAGAAAGACAGAGAGAGACAGAGAGATAGAGAGAAATCAAGGGGGATGGCCACGCCGCAATCCCTTCTCCTCCATTCTCTACTCAGGATCTTGGGCACACACGCACACGCACCTGGCATGAGTTTAAGCCACTGGGTCCAGGACTCGAACCACAGTCGACTACATGGGAGTCCAACGACATAGCCATCATGCTAACTGCTGGTTCCAATTTTTTTTCTTTCTTTCTTTCTTTTTTTTTTTCTTTTTTTTGAGAGGTGTTTGCTATAGGGTGCATGTGCTCGCCAAAAAGACAGAAAGCAAGGTGGCCACGCCACAATCCTTTCTCCTCTCGGGATCTTGGGCATGCACACACACGCGCCCGACATGAGTTTAAGCTACCGGGTCCGGGACTCAACTGCAGTTGCCTTTTCAGTGGGCCTTTGGTGCATGTGCAGGACTTTATAACCAAAATGGTCACCCTGGGTGAGAGCCTGGCATGGCCTGACTTTGTAGGGGAAAGGCCAAAGCCTCCAGGACTCCACTCCGGTGCACGTGGGTGCACACAAGCCAGGGCCTAACGTACCAGAGCCTGGACATCGACCCATCTACTCTCCCTGACAGCCCTCGGCTAGCCTCCCATGCAGTCTCGGGGAGTTCATGGCTATCATTAAAGGCAGGGCATTGCCCTCGGTCTCGCACCCTGCTACCACTTCCTGGTCATGTTCCTGCCTCCACTGGCCCTCTGCTAAACCTGGAGTCCTTTCCTGACGTTCCTAGGCTGCCTGCACTGCATCGGTGCGCTGCTCCTAAAATCTGCACCCACAGTGCTGACGTGGCTTCCTCTTTGTTTAGCTGGGCTCAGGCGTTCCTTTGGTTCTGTTTTCACACAGCAGTTGTGGAAGCCCTTTAGTGATGCACAGGTGCCCCTGTGGTCTCCATTAGAGGGTGGAGGGTGGTGGCTCTGCAGGAGACTGGCGGGCCCCTTTGGCAGGGTGGCGTCCGGGCATGCCCACTGCTGCTTAGCATGGCTGGGTGGCCCATGGTGAGTGACTGACCTAATACTTCTCGTCCTAAGCATTCAGGTGGAACTGGAAGCTGAAGCGGAAAAGATGCGGGTGTCCCAGCAAGAATTACTTTCTGTTGATGAAACTGTTTACACTCCCGACTTTGATGTGGCTGCACCAGAGATCAACAGGAACCTCATCCAGAAAGCTGGTTACCTTAATCTCCGGAAGTGAGCATGCCATTGCCTGCCGTTCTTCTAAAATCTTGTTTCCCAGGAAGCAGCCTCTTAGGTGCCCCATTAGAGCCCAAGGGTGGGGGTGGGGGAGGCTGGGGGGAGATACTCTTGCCATCCCTCTGTCCTGGAACACAAGAAACCTCAGGCCCAGGGCCCAAACTGCCCTGAAAGGCGGGGCTGAGAACAGAGCCATTTGAGTCAGAACTCAGTACTGTGGACTTGAAGACTGCAGGCCACCCTGGTCTCTGGTCACTATGGTCACTTGTGAACAGACCATTCTTACCTGTTGAACCTTGAGTCAATACCCCTCCGCTCCCGTCCCCACTGCCAGCTGGCAGATGAGAGCAGTGGGACAGAGACCTGCCACAGAGTCAAGAGCCAGTGCCAGGAGGCTTTCAGAGGCAGACCCACACAGATTGATGCACACAGTTAACACTCATGTCTTCATATGTCCGTACCCATTCTGGATTAAAGGGATGGTCAGGTTTCATTGCTTCTAAGAGCAGAGAGGAAGTTGTGGCCTGGTGTAGAGTGCTGGCTTCAGTGTCAGACACCCTGGCTGGGCTCAACCTCGGTCTGTTCTTCTGTGAAACAGAGCTGAGGCTTGCACCTACTTTCTAAACTCGCTGCCAGGATTCAGTGAGGTCTTCCTAGCGGGTAGTAAGCACTCACATGTCATTTGCCGCTGTTTTTTTGGAACTTATTTGGTCAGGAAACCCAGTGCCTTGTACGTAATTGCTACTCAGTAAATCTGAGTCAAGTAAACATAGTCACCGTCCCTCAAGGGGAGGGTACCTGAAGAATCGCCAGCCGTTTCCTTCAGGACGGTGCTCCCTGGAGGTCTGTGTGGCTGCTGAGCCCTCCCGCTAACCGGCCCCTGTCGTCTCCAGGTAGAATAAACTCCACCAAGCCATGGATGGCTGCCGTGGGGGGTGGTGTCTCTTGCCCACACCTCCAGATTGGTCCCGGGCCTGGCATCTCCCATGTCATTCAAGCTAAAAAGCTGAATCGCACCTCTTCTCTTTTCACTTGAATGATTTTCAGAGCATTCTGCTTTAATGTAAAGAAACACATTACGTGTAAAATGCACTGGTGCCTATAGAGGTCACCAGACCTGGAGAGCCATCCATGCCTCCGACTACTAATGGCTTTCTCAACTACAATCCGTACAGCAAAACGGGGCTGGTCACCACCACCTGGGAGAGACTGTACTTCTTCACGCAAGGCGGGAACCTCATGTGCCAGCCCAGGGGAGCCGTGGCTGGGGGTTTGATCCAGGACCTGGACAACTGCTCAGTGATGGCGGTGGACTGCGAGGACCGCCGATACTGCTTCCAGATCACCACACCCAATGGGAAATCGTACGCCTCATGGTTGACTGGGGAGGAGGGCAGTGCTCAGTTACCCCCGCCCAGGGCTTCCATGGGAGAGGCCCCCATCTGGGAACTGCTGACCTTTTGGGAGGGTTTTTATGTTCTCTTTAATTAAACAAGCACGTGGAGCCATACGGGACCCAACCTGCCTGATTTCAGAGCCCAATGAGGATTTGCCTGTGGCTTTGGAGAAGAGATGATGTATGTGTGCGGGACAGTGACAGCAGTTTTTCAGCATAGATCCTCGGAGCAGTGGTTGTAGCTACCCCTTGCCTGTACCTAACAAGCATTCGTGTCTGTACCGTAGTGGGACAGGGATGAGGAGACGGGGTGAGGAAGGCCTGCCTGAGGAGTCGTCTGTAGCTGATCAAGAGAGTGGCAGAGTGCCCAGCTGTAGCCCTGAGCCTCTTGGGGAGTCAGTCACTGGAGATCCCTTCCCAGTGGGAAAAACCCAGGGGTTTGCAAATTGCCCCATGGAGTCGAGTCCCATGAATGTTCCTCAGCATTCCCCACCCTCAGCCCGAGCTGCTCCGCTCCCTTTTGCTGTCTGTATGGGGTTCTGTGTTCGGGTTTTATCTGCACAACCAAATGCTAGGGGGTGAGGGCAGTGCTGGGACAGAGTAGACTATCCCTTCTTCTGGACTGGCGGAGCAGGTGTAGGCTTGTCCTTCCTTCCTTGGTGAAGGGAAGTGACCTGGGAGTGAAGGTGCCTGGGTTGCATTCAGAGCCCTGGGCAGTTATGTAGCTCTTCTGGGCCTCGGCATCATCAGATACAAACTGAGACAAGACTTGTGCCCCACCCCGGCCCCCACCATCTGCTGTCGATAGAGGGACTTGCTGGTGTGAAGTCAGTTTAAAGGCCTCGTAGAGCCAGGTCAGCCTATTCCTTGGCCTGTGTGTGCACATTTTCCAGTCTGGGAAAGGGGCGGAACAGCTGCTGAGTCCCTCTGTGGGCCCAGCTGGAGGAGTCCTGGTGGCCTGGGGTCACCTAAGAGGAAGTCAGCAAGGCTGCCCTTACTGTCACATCACAGACCCCTCGTTTTATAGATGAGAAAGCTGAGGCCCAGGGAAAGGACGCGTTTGTCCACAATCCCATAGTGAGTCGGCAGCAAGCGCCCAGAAGCCTGTCTTCTTTCCTCCTTCTCCTGCCACCTTCCTGGCCTGTGCTCCAGCACCCCCACTGAGGCAGTTTCCGTAACAGTCCTGGGTCACTCAGACCTGGGAAGCTCAGGCTGACATGCGTTTCATTTCAGGGGAATAATCCTCCAGGCAGAGAGCAGAAAAGAAAATGAAGAGGTAAGACTTGGTTTGTTTTACCAATTTCCTAATGAAGTGGGTGACTGTGCCAGGATTCAGTGTCCTTTTTTAATGTCCCCCACAGTGGATCTGTGCAATAAACAACATCTCCAGACAGATCTACCTGACCGACAACCCAGAGGTAACCAGTGGCTTTCTGGCT